TGTAATCCCAGCACTGGTGTGGAGATTAGAGACAGATGGGGCACTGGAACTTACTGTCTGGAAAGCCTAGCCAATCAGGGAGCTTCAAGTTCAATGAGAGACCTGGTCAAAGGCATTAAGTAGATAGTAACATCAGAGAAGCAGCCAGCGGATCAGCAGACGCCCTCAGGAACAACCATGATACATCCATCTTTTTAAAAGTCCAGTGGTCTGTTCAGAGAATATACTATGACCTAGTAGGGAGGTCCAGAAATCGAAGAACCATTCAGCCTTAGACCTATTGCAATGTAATATTCTCCTCCATTTAATCTCCTCTACAAAGATCTGGCAAAGAAAAATTCTGAAAGCCTCTTTGTAAATTCAGAATTGACGAAAATTTCTTCAATATGATAAAGAACTGATCAGAACCATCTAGAAAGTCACCAAGGCATGTCAGAATCACAACACATGCCGTGTATAGTCTGCTTCCCACTGTGGCAAAGGTAATGCCCTTTGAGCTTCTCTCCGGTAACTTTAACAGTCTCAGCCTGGCCATCAGGATGTTCCCTGGAAGGGTATTTAATGTCTCACAAAGACAGGGAAAGAGGGACTGGAGATATGGCTCAGATTAAGAGCACTTATTGCTCCTGCACAAGGCCCAGGTTCAGTTCCTCATACCCACATGACAACTCAACTGCTTGTAATTCCAGCTCCAGGAGATCTGATGGCCTCTTCTAACCACTGTGTGTATCTGTTATCTTCCAATCTGCATGATTTGGTATGATTCTATGTTGTTAAGAAGAAGAAAAAGGATACCTGCATATGGGTCGAGGGAGACTGTGTTAGTCAGAGTCTAAAGCTACAGAAGTGATGGAATGAATATCTACTTGGGAGGCAGAGACAGGTGGATCTCTACGAGTTTGAAGCCAGTCTGGTTTACAGAGCAAGTTCCAGGACAGGCTCCAAAGCTACAGAGAAACCCTGTCTCGAAAAAAAAGGGGGAGGGAAGAGAGCTTACATGATGGCTGTCTTCACACTGGAACGGCTGAGAACCCAATCGCTGCTTGATCCACAAAGATAGATGTCTCAGTAATCCCAGTCTGGTACTGAAAGCCTAGAAGATTCCTGGAGATCCACTCACTGGTCTTCAGGGTTCTGATGTCAGCAAATAATAACAACAGCAGTCATGGAAGCAACAGAGGTGTTGACCCGACAAGACACAAAAAACCTTTTCCCTTGGACCACCTATTTCAGGCTCCACCAGAAGATGCTCCCCCACACACACATTTAGGGTAGATCTTCCCACCTCAAATAACCTAATGCAGAAACTCTCTCACAGATGTGGCTTCTCACAGATGTGCCCAGTGGCTTCTCACAGATGTGCCCAGTGGCTTCTCACAGATGTGCCCAGTGGCTTCTCACAGATGTGCCCAGTGGCTTCTCACAGATGTGCCCAGTGTGTGCCCAGTGACTTCTCACAGATGTGCCCAGTGGCTTCTCACAGATGTGCCCAGTGGCTTCTCACAGATGTGCCCAGTGGCTTCTCACAGATGTGCCCGGTGGCTTCTCACAGATATGCCCGGTGATTTCTCACAGATGTGCCCGGTGGCTTCTCACAGATGTGCCCGGTGGCTTCTCACAGATGTGCCCAGTGACTTTCCTCTTAGTTAATTCCAGATCAGTCAAATGGGCAACCAAGATCAATCATCATATATACAATAGCTATCTTTTGATAGGGTTGCTCATTGTGTTTGTCCACATTTTCCACACCAGCTGGGTAATTGCTAAGATGCATTTAAAAATTCTACGAAGCAAATGAACTTGTGTAAGATGCTAAGAAATGTCCCCTGGGTGCAGTGTGCTGGTGGTAGAGTGGTGAGAACCGGTGCCCTGGGGACAGTAGTTCCCATTTATTGGGATTCCATAGGCCAGAGGAAAGAAAGGCTTTACACTGCTGTTAGAACTGGGTCCGCTTGTCCTTATTCCTGCACCCTGCAGGCTTCTGGAATGTCTCTTTGATGTGACTTTGTCCCACATGTCACTGCTAGTGAGAGCATGTGGTTACAGCCTTTATGTGTATGCTTTTAATGGTGACTTCCCTTCCCCCCCCCCCCCCGGTTCTTTGGCTTCCGGTCTACTGCTGGCTTCGTGTTCATTCTCTAAGTACACCTTTTAACAACACAGCTTTGTTCCATTGCAGAACGCGGCTGCTCTGCCAGGCACTTGGCGAAGAACAGACGTGCACTTAGAAAACCCAGAGTACCACACCCGATGGTATTTCAAGTATTTCTTAGGACAAGGTAATTACGCCTTCCTGGCAGCTGGGGGAAGAAGTGATGCTCAAAACTGCATGATCTCCAACACCCTGCACGAGTGGAGTGACAGTGTCAGGGCAGATCACATCAGGGACCGTGACGAGCATTGTAGTTGAAGGCTAAACTCGGAGCTTTCTTGACGGGGGCTACTGTTTGGGAGGAGTGTTGTGGGGCTGGGTTTTGTTGTTGGGGATTTTTGTTTGTTTGTTGGACTCGGTTTTGGTGGAGGGGTTGGGTTTTTCTCATCACAGGGTTTCTGTGTGTAGCCCTGGCTGTCCTGGAACTTGTTCCGTTCCTGGCCTCGAACTCCAGGATCTGTCTGCCTCTGCACGTTGCACTGCCACTGGCTTGTTGTTTTAAGCCTGGTAAAATGGGGACTTAGCTCATCTCGTCTTTGAGAGATAAGAATTTTTCAGGATGGAAAAGGCTTTAACTTAGCAAGGTCAGTACACACCTGTGTGAGCTGTAAGTGTCTCGTTTGAGACTGTGAAGGACAGCAGCGGTTTCCCTGGCAGATTTTGGCCATAGGACTGTGGCTGTACCACATTCGCTCACCAGTGACATGGATACAGGCTCCACCTGCTGTCTGGTGGGCAGTGCACATCGCAGAGGGGTACAGTGCAAAATGAGCCCGTCCCCTGACCTCATGGAGCCTGCAGAATGGGTTTGTAACATGATTCTGCTCTCGCTAACCCAAGGACTTGGACGTGGCTTCACTGTCTGTAAAGCGCAGCTATTTCTAGTCCTTCCCTCGAGGTCTGAGCAAAGCTTCCAATGAGATTGCAGAAATAACACATAAGTCAGTGCCTGACACATGCCAGGAGTTCAGTCGCTCATAGATTTTAGACTACATTTAGAGAGAACACATGGAAAGACAGAAAACAGGTGTGTTGCTAATGAGAGGGGGCTGGGAATGGAGGGAAAAACTCATGTGGGAGGTGAAATGTCAGAGAAACTCAATGAGACATCCAGTGTAAAGCATGGTTGATGCAGGATGGCCTTCTGTGCACTGTGAATATATATTCTTCCCTTTAATAAGAACCTGCTTTGGCCTGTGGCAGGATAGAATATAGTTAGGCGGGAGATTCAAGCAGAGAGAGAGAAGGCAGGGTGAGAGAGATGCCAGTGAGCCACCTATAGAACAAGATACCAGAACACCTAAGGAAACACCACAGCCACATGGTGACATACAGACTGTTAGGAATGGGTTAATTTACAGGTGAGAGCTAGGCAATAGTGCCCTAAGCCATCAGCCAAACAATATATTAATATTAGCCTCTGAGTGATTGATAATTCTATAAGGTTGCTGGTCCAGCGGGCGAGAGAAACTAATCCAGTGAGCCCAGGCAACACAGAGAAAAACCTCTGGCTACACATGATTCTCAAGCCAGGGAATGAGAGGCTCAGAGGGTAAGAGCAAGGGGAATTACTCTGCGACTTGACAACCTGATCTCAAATCCCCAGGCCCATGTAAAATATCTGGGAATGGCTGAGCATTCCTGTAACACAGCACTGGAGAGACAAAGACAGGTGGATCCTGGTGGCTCTCTGGCCCTGCCTGAAGACAGCAAAGCTGAAAGCAATGAAGGAAGACAGTATCTCCCTTTGGCTTCCTAAGTCACAGACAAGCATGCACACCCATACACACATACATAGCAGTGTGCTGCACACGGGAAAGAAAAACTGTTGCAGTATTATTCTAAAAGGTTAAAGTTCAGGTGTGGCCAGGCATGGTTTGCGTAGGTGGGTGGGAAATATAGAAGCATTTATAAAGAAGGAAATGTGCCAGCCATCTTCCCCAGGGCTGTGCCCAGAGCGCCCACAGCATTGGCTTTTCAGCAGAAGGGTTGCTGTGAGTTTGAACGCCAGCAGCATTCAAAGAGGTAATGCATAACCTACCTCAAACTGGTTTAAACAAGAAAGAAATGAACAAAGTTTGAGGCCAACATAGTCTACGTAACAAGCTATAGATGAGCCAGGGAAAGCCCTGTGGTTGGTGGTGTCAAGAGTTCAGTGATACTAGAAACCCAGGCCCTTTTTCTTTTTCTGCTTCCCTACTATTGGTCTGATGACTTTGCCCTCCTTATGACCACAAAAGGCTGCAGTAGCAGACATCACTTGACACTGCAACATCCGGGGGTGGGGGGCATCTTTCCAGAAGGCAGATTTCTCATCCTGTCTCAGCTAACACTGAATAACAGACTTGTTTCTGAGCTTGTTGCTGGTGAAGGGAAGTGGGCACACAGTGGTCAGGTCCTACCCACGCCAGTCTTAGGATAGCAGGGCACACAGTGGTCAGGTCCTACCCACACCAGTTTTAGGATAGCTGCTAGTGTGGGCACTGGTCACTGCTGGCAAAGGGAAGTGGGCACAGAGTGGTCAGTTCCTGCCCACGCCAGTCTTAGGAAGGCTGCTCGTGTGGGCACTGGCCACTGCTGGCGAAGGGAAGTGGGCACACAGTTAGTGGTCAGTTCCTGCCCACGCCAGTCTTGGGATGACTGCTCGTGTGGGCACTGGCCACTGCTGGCTGAAGGAACTAGCTGGGTTTTCACCAGCTACTCTTCTCCAGTCCATCAGAACTACATTGGAAACGATGCGGAGAAGAGCCCCTTCTTCTTGTCTGTGACCCTTTCTGACCAGAACAATCAGCGTGTCCCTCAGTACCGTGCAATTCTGTGGCGGAAAACAGTGAGTATCTGACCTGCACTTAGACTCTGGTATCTCCTGTTCAGCACGTGCCTGGAGGGCCTTATTCAAAGTCCGGTTAGCCCGTTGTCAAGTGGTTCCCCTCACTGTAGATAATTCAGAATGTCATTATTCTGAGCTGGGACCACCAAGCCTAATGGTAACAGCAGCTTCTCCCCATCTCTAAGCCGCAGTCAGACACAACCACTTCCTAAGTCTTGGCCTCAGGGGAATGGCAGTGGGTTTATAGAGTGCATTAGTTCAATAGCCTTATCTACTACACTTGGGGTTGTAGTGGTAGTAGTATGTTCACTTTTGTTTGCGGGCTGGAGGGGAGGACATGGAGGGGCTGGTTTGTTTGTTTTTGTTTTGGGGGACAGTCTCATATAGCCTGGGTTATCTTCAGACTCACTTTGTAGTTGAGGATGACCTTGAACTTCTAGTCCTCCTCTCTCTTAACTCCTGAGTGATGGGGTTATGTACCACCATACCTGTGTATAATGTTGTAGGGATCAAACCCGGGCTTCACACATGCTAGGCTCTGCCACCTGAGTCACATCCTCAGCCCTAGTTTTGTTTGTTCTTTTTTTTTTTTTTTTTGGTTTTGGTTTTGGTTTTTTGAGACAGGGTTTCTCTGTGGCTTTGGAGCCTGTCCTGGAACTACCTCTGTAGACCAGGCTGGTCTCGAACTCACAGAGATCCGCCTGCCTCTGCCTCCCGAGTGCTGGGATTAAAGGCATGCGCCACCATCGTCCGGCTTATTTATTGTTTTGTTTGTTGGGATAGGATCTAACTTTGTATTTGTGAACTTGCTATGTTGACCAAGTTGGCTGCAAACTTTACAATCCTCCTGCCTCAGTCACCCGAGTATTGGGCTTTTAGGAGTACACCACCACACCCAACTGACCCTAGCTATTTTTTAATTACATTTTTTGTAATTTTATGTGTATGAGTGTTTTGTCTGCATGTACATCCGTGTGCCGTATGTGTGCCTGATGCCCAGGGGTCTCAGAAGAGGGCACCCGATTCCCTGGAACTGCAGTGATGGGTGAGTATAAGCAATCATATGGGTGCTGGGAACCAAATCTGGGTCCTCTAGAGGAACAGTTACTGCTCTGAACCACTGAGCTGTCTCTTCAGGCCCCGACCCGAGCTATTTTTAATAATTAAATCTGTGGACTAACCTACCTTTTAGTTATATTGGAAGAACAGAATATTATTATCTGGCTATAGCCCCTATGGTGTCCCCATCTCTCCAGCTTGCTCAGCCAACACCAGTGTCCAGCTGCACTAATGGAATTTGTCTTAGATTTCATATTTTCCTTATGTGCTTTTATTGTCTACTTGCTACTCTGATTCAGAAATTTGTTTTCTAGTAATTCTTATATTTGGTTTTTTTAATAAGTTTTTCCCATTATTCTCTTCTTTTCATATTATTTTCTAGGACATTTTACACAGACAATATGATACCCTGGTAAAAGCATATACACATACTCACACCCCTGCACACCTACATGCACACATACACATATATCAATAGGGTAACAAATTTAAATGACCTAAAAAGAAGGGCTGGGGATAAGACTGTTGATAGGGTGATTGCCCAGCATGCATGAAATCGTGTGTTCAGTCCCCAGCATTGCGTAAACCAGGTGTGGTGGCGCATGCCCGTAATCCCAACACTTGGGAATCAGAGGCAGGAGAATCAAGAGTTAAAAGTTATCCTCATTTACATAATTAAAGTTTGAGGTCATCTTGGGATATGATACTCTATATCACAAAGAAAAAAATTTCTAGGAACAACTACTATTCAACAAATTATGATTAGGCACTTCGAAAGTAGTGAGCTAAAACAGTAAAGAATAAAACCTAACGTTTATTGTGTTCTTACTATAGTCTCGAGCTTCCTAATGCTGTGACCCTTGGATACACTTCCTCATCTCCCGGTGACCCCTAACCTAAAATTCTTTGTTGCTACTTCATGGCTGTAATTTTGCTACTGTTATAAATCGTAACCTTTTACAATTTCCGATGGTCTCAGGCAAACCCTGTGAAAGAGTCATTAGACCCCCGAAGGGGTCACGACCCACAGTTGAGAACCACTATGCTAGATTAATTTCTTAACTCCCCAAACCGTAATACCTGCTCTTGCAATTGCAGAAGTTAAATGCCAGGGCCAAAGTCCCTCCCAGTCGATGACAGACTGGGTGTATCCCAGGGCCCAGTGGCCACGGTATCACTACTGTACATAGTGAATTCTATATGTAGTCTCTGACTCACTGTGTCCTCCTTCGATGTCCCCACCATGTGGCAGAATGCCTGGCACATATGCACAGCTCGGGAAGTAAATGGCACCAGACCTAGCTTAACATCTCTGGATGCTGCTGCTTCCGTTTAAGTAAACTTGTATAGTATTTTCAGAAGTTGTCTTGTTTTGAAGCAGATTTGGGGTAAAAATCTTTTCTGTGTTGCTCGTGAGCTTATTTCCAGCAGAGGCGTGTTCATAACAGGGGACCTTAGTGGGATCAAGGTTTACAGGGACAGGTACTTTCCAAGACTCAAAAGAGCTGGAAGGACCAACACATCTTCTCCCCATGCCACCACCATAGCTGGGGCCATCAGCCTGCTGCCAGCGCAGCTATGTGACAAGCAGAGCCATGAACAGGTCTAGGAGACCCTGGCGTGTGTGTGCCCAGTTTCTGGAATGCCTGCATTGTAGTCTCTGCCAATTGTTCCCCTGGTGACAAATAACTGTGCTTTCATTCAGAGCCCCTGTCTTCTGAACCAGGCAGGTGAGTGTCCTCTTTGGGAAGACCATCGTCTTTTCCCTCTCCCTGCTCCTCTAGCGATTGATAGGTAGGTGCATGAGGAGAAGGTTGAGGTCTCATGGCAGCAGAACACACTTGAGTTAGGGGTTAACATATAGAATGAGTTATGTACAGTGGGGTGCGTGCCCCATTCCCAGGTTATTTTAGTATTTTTGTGACATACTCTCATATGACCTTTGGGATAGAGTTGGTCCTTTCTGCTTTTTTAGGTCAGGGAAAGCTCGTGTTCCTGAAGTCTGTGGGTCTTGCTGTTTTTCCTTGCGTGTGGCCCAAGCTCTGGTCCCTGCTAGCCTCTGGACCTCAGCTCTACAGCTTACCCCAGGCCTCACCCCTGCAAGCCATGGCCTTAGGTCCATATCTGTTCTTTTGCCAGGCATCCACGCTGGCAGCTCCTACGCTTCACCTTGTCTCTACAGGTGCCACGTGGGCTTTAGCTCCTGTGAGAGGTCCTGCCCAGGAAGCAGCTTCTTGCCCCATTGCTGTACGCGCCTACAGGGCTCTCTTGGGTATCTCTGAAGTGTTTTCCTGTGCCCTCATGGCCTCCCTCTCCTATTTAACTTCCTTCCCACCTCTTCTGACTTCCAGGGATGAATTTACTTGATATCTTCCTTCTTGACAGCCACCTACATCCTTACCTTAGATGGTTGCTGGATACTGAGCAAGGGCAGGCAGGCAGGACAAACGCAGGGGAAACCTGGCTTATTTCCGTTTCTGAAGGAGTTGTCTGTATTACATATAGACTGTGGTCAGCACCCTGAAGGTGACAAAGCTAATGAAGATGCTGAGACCCCTGAAGATGAGGTCAGGGAGATCTTCCGCATGGAGATCCGAAGGGTAAATGCTGTAAGCACAGGCAAACTAGAAGGGGAAGCTGGAGAACAGTCTAGGCAGAAGGAACAAGAGTTAACAAAGTAGTATTTCCTGGAGCTGCTCTTGGCCACCATTAGAGAAGCATAGACTTGACATTTAAGCTCCAAAACATTGTGAAAGCTGCCAAGAGCTGGCCATTGGGAACATTAATCCCACTGAGAGAGTGTCCGTGCCTCCATCTAAATCCTCTCCTGTAGCTGCTAAACGTGTGGGCCAACAGCAGGGTAAGTTTTGCTCATAGCTACAAATGGAAATATTGAAGGGGAGAAAATTAAAATCAGAATTATCAGCAGAAGCCAGTTACTACATTCCTGTAACTTTAGGCTGGCACTGAAGGCTGTGGGAAGTTCTTGTCCAGCCCCCCACACCCACAAGCCCGTGCTGTCTAAAGGCAGCTATAAGACCAACCAAACACATAACCCTTCTGCAAGTAGTCTTTCTGTATGTCTGTGCTTGGTTTTTGAGGTGTTGGGAATGGAGCCAGGATAACGCACGCTCTAGGCTAGTGAGTATCCCCACTACTGTACGGATGTTGTCTGAACACGTGGGGAAGATTTTTATATAGAAACAATTTCAGACTCACTGTAGAAATTCCACCCAGAAAACACAGCAGGCACAAAGAGGAGGATCAAAGTCTTCTGCTCAGAGAAGTTATAATATCTCCTTCTGGGAGATTCTACACATGCATGTTGGCAGGTGAACACACATGTGCATGCATGCATACATCCATTGTTAATACAAACCAGGTCATGTCCAGCCTGTACTTCTGAATTTGCACAGTGCTCACCTCTGGTTGCCTGGTATGTGCAGATACAGGCCTCCACCTAGGGCATTTGATGTTTCTACCAGAAAATACAGAGTGGTTTTATTTAAATATTGACTCTAGAAAGCTGCAAACAGGAGATGGGAAAAGAGCTGTGCCAGATTGTAGTGAAGAAAACCTCAAGTCCACAGCCCCTGGCTCCTCTCCACATAGTTACTCATGAAGATACCATTGTCAGCTCCCACAAGCTGTACTGGGCTTGTCTCTTGAACAACTGTCTTTGGCTCAGCTGTCCACCATGGTACCAAGATTCGAGGCCTGGTGTGTTGAGTTCTGCTCAGAACCAAAAGTTTGTATGAGAGAGAGGGGTGCCGACAGCCAGAGTAGTGAGAAAGAACAGGCGTGGTTTTACCACAGCGACTGGGTGAGGCTCTTCAGACTCATCACTGATGGTGCTTTACTTCTTCCAGGGTACGCAAAAAATATGCCTTCCTTACAGTCCCACCAAGACACTGTCTGTGAAGTCCATCTTAAGGTGAGTTCTCACAGACCGTCAGAGGCCCATGCGTGTGGACTGCATGGTCCTGGGATCCTTGCGCAATCGCTTTCCTTGACTGGCATGCCAGGCATTCCCTCCTAGAGTCTCCAAGGCAGCCCCAGAGAGCAGGACAAATGATAAAACAGAGTAAGGCCAGGGTTTCCAGTGGTGGCTGAGCTTCCCTCTGTGCTGTGCCCTTTGCCTGCCGCGTGTTTGTTTTCCTTGTGCTTGCTTGGATACTTCAGGTTTAGAAAGAAAATCCAGAAATCTTTTCCTTTCATTTTTATACTTTGAAATAGAAACCCAGATGTCAGCAAAGGCTTCCGGGGGGGAGGGTGCCTTATTCACTGAATAAGCGAGTGAAGGGATTGGAACATCTGGCTTCTGCCCCTGTTTCCCACCTCCCTCTCAAATCTCTCCCAGACCTGGGGAAAGCTGCCACTCAGATGGAGCCTGTCACTCTGTCCCCAACTAAGATATTGCATCCTAATGACAGTAGCCTCTTTGTCAGACACTGTGCTGAATGCTTCCCAGCATCTGCTCACTGACTCTAACTCGGCTGCATGAAGTCCATCTGTGGTTGCCTCCATTCCCCTAAGAGGACTCAGGCCTCAGAGAGCAGGAGAGACTGCAGAGCTAGTTAACTGCAGGGTTTAAACTAGGTGTCTCTGACTCTGGGACTCGGCAGTAAAGGGTGTCGTAGACATATGAAATTGTCAATAACAGAACAATAAATAAGTCAGTAGCAATCTGGGAGAATAGGAGGACAGAAGGATGCCTGACGCTGCCGTCCGTGATGACTGCCGCGCTCTCCTGCATGGCTGTCCTGAAGGGACAGTTACCCATGGCAGTTGGTGACGTTCACGGAGTCGCACACCATTCCTTCACTTGCTGATCTGCGTTTTCAGTGTCAGGCCCTTCAGAGAATCCACCATGATTCTTCTAGACAACACTGTCTATTTCTCCAGAGAACTGCACTTACTCCCTCATGCTTCAGCTCCCACCTCACTGAATCACTCTGTTTGCTCTGTTTCAGTGCCATGAACCTGGACAAGTTTGAAAAAGGCCCTCGGGAAATCTTTCACCCAGAGATACAAAAGGTAAAGGAAGCTGTGGCTTCATAGCAATGCGTGGACTCAGTCTCACCTTGCTAGGATGGTAGGGCAGGCTGGTCTGCCCAGAGAGAAGGAAGTGTGGTGTCATGATGAGGGTCAGAGAGGTGTGTGTGTGTGTGTGTGTGTGTGTGTGGAGAGAGAGAGAGAGAGAGAGAGAGAGAGAGAGAGAGAGAGAGAGAGAGAGAGCGCAGTTGTACCTTCATCGTGCAGCTGTAACTCATTTAGCTCTGAAATTTTAGAACTGTGGCCATCCTCCCTAGGATGCCAGCCAGCAGAGCAAAGCTGAGCTTCCAGGAGGTGGGCTGTGCCCACCTAGATGACACGGAAGAAGCTTGAGAGGCAGCTTGAGCTGTGTCCAGGAGGCAGCAGGGTCTGTAAGCAGAGTGAGGTGGATGAGTTCATTTGCGGGGGGTACCTCAGATGAGATGTGGAGGACTGAGCAGACCATAAACAGTTATTTTCTGTATCCCTTAAAGGTAAGCTTTGAACTGAGGTCATCGTTGCTAAACCCGGACGTACAGAGTGGAATGTCCTCATGCCTTTATAAAATTTATAAAATACTATTTGTTTGACCACCAGGACAGCATGGTAGAAGGAAAGAAATGATTTCTGCAAGTCACTGATTTCCACATGCGTGTCAAAGCACTGTGTGCATCTGCACACACAGACACATGCTAAATAAATAAATAAACAAGTATTTGTGCCCTGCAAGAATAAACTCAGCAAAATTTAGTGTGTTAGGTTCAACTAAGCAAATTTAAGATACACTATGCCTAAAGTGACTTTGGAAACCTTAAGAACAAATTAGAAGTATAAATACATCTTTACTGCTTCATTGTACAACTTAGATTTTTTTTTTATAAAAAAGACAGGATCTCACCATAAAGTCCAGGCTACCCTAGAACTCACTTTATAAACCAGGCTGACCTCAAGCTCACGTCCTTCCTGCCTTAGCCCCAGCAGTGCTGAGAGCATGGTGCCTGGGAATGATCCCCACTCTGAAGACCCCACCCCAGAGTCCTGGAGGGGCAGCCCTGTGGTGTGCTGTGTGTCAGCTGCTGTGCTAGCCCACCCCAGCTGCCTTCCCTCCCACAGAGTAACAGATGACCAGACAGGAGTCGGCAGTACCTGCGACTGACGTCACCATTCTGTGCCTATGGAAAAGCTGTTTCATGCTCTCCTATAGCTGTGTACCCCCTTACCGAGGAACACTCATGAGCCTCCCTGGGCCTGAGTATGAGGCCCAGTCCTAAAAGTCACGCTGTCAGAGCTGCCCCAGCTTCTGCACATTACTGCTAGGAGCTCTTCACAGTCACAGAATCCATACAGTGAGTGGAAGCTGAACCAGCCTCATTATGAGAAGGAAGGGGGCTGGTCCTATTAGAACACTGTCCCTCTGCTTCTGCTTGCTAGGATGCAGTGACGTTTTTCTTGACCAGATTCCTTCCAGAAGCAATGTGTATGATTAAGTTGGCTTTAAGTAAGTGGAAAGTGGGATCTCTGTGTTTTCTTCCTGCCTCTCTATCACCTTGAATCCTAGACAGCTGTAGATGGATTTCCTGGCGACCAGAGATTGTATAAGAATCTACAGTTGTCGATGACTTTCCTGGTGACCAGGGATTGTATAAACATCTACAAAACTAAATCTGAATGTTCAAAGCATGTCTAAGACCTTAAGTATATATAACATTGTGCCCTCTTAAATCTAATATTTGTTTTTGTTTTGTTGTTGTTGGTTCTTATGGGTTTTTTTGGGTTTTGACACAGGGTTTCTTTATGTAGCCTTTGCTGTCCTGGAGCTTTCTCTATAGACCAGGCTGGCCTTGAACTCACAGAAATCCACCTCCCCCCTGCCTCCTGAGTGCTAGGATTAAAGATGTGCACCACCACTGCCTGGCAAATACTTGTTTTTTGAAAACTTAATATTAGCTACAAACTGATGCTTAAAATCAAAATTCCATAAAACAATAGCAGGGATTGGCACTAGTTTGAAGAATGATTTCAGATGCCCAAAGCCACCTGAAAGCAGTAGTCAGCATCCGTGATCACAGCACACCAGCAGCAGGAGGAAAGGCAGAGATGGGAAAATCTTCAGAAGCCCGTGGATCAGCTTAGCTTGCTGCACACAGTGGAAACCAGTAAGATACCCGATGCCAGACAGTGTGGAAAACAAGAGCCAACATCACAGATTGTCTTCTGACATACACGCATGACCTGTGACACACATGTCTCCCACCATACATACATCCAAACACACACACACACAAACATGTACACACAGACACAAAGAAAAACAACATCACTAGGACTTTATTAAGAAACACCATTACTGACATAAAATTAGACCTTTAAGGCTAAAATTACAAACTAGGAAACAACAAAAAGAGACCTAGTTGGTCCTCATAAATCCAGAAATGAATTTTTAAAACTCTGACTGCTGTCAAATAGACATTGGTCCACCCCGATGCCTGGCAGGAGCACCCACTTCTAAGTGCATGTAATCCAAACCAAAGAAGATACAAAGGAAATGTGGCCTGGCAGCCAGTGGCATCCCTCCTGCCACCAGGGCTGAATGTTGGGCCCCTGGGGACTCCCATAGCCTGCCCGCCAAGGCAAGCCCTAACCAGGCCTGGGACAGTAGCAAAGTGCCCAGTCCTGACACTGCCAGACTAAAGGCCGCTGGGAAGCTCCTGGTGTCTTATTCACCATGACTGTGTACTTGCAGGTGTCAGAAGAACCAGGCCACATGACCTTACCCCATGCTCTGCTGAATTCCTTACCTGTCATTCTGGAATGACTAGGCTGCAAACTATGGAAAAGAGGATCTTGCAATAAAGTGTGTAATGACGTGCAAATAAGAAGTGTGTCTAAAAGTATAAAACACATGGCAGTTTTATTTTTTCCCCGGATTCAAAAAAACAGTGATGACTGCATTCCAAACAAAAGAGCCCTTGTGTCAGAAATGATGGAGAGCTTTGTGTGCCTCATGTACTTCTTTAGGAATGTTTAGCTTCCCAGGTGACAAGGAGGGTGAGGGCCCCTCAGCCTCTTCCTTCTCTTTCCTGGCCCTCCTGGCCATTCTCATGGCTGCCATGGCTTGACTGGAGCCACCTCCCCACCTCCACACACCCAGTGACCTCTGTTGGAGTCCTTGGCCTTGGTGTCTGCTTGCCCACTTCTTCCGAAGTTCATTGTGAAGTAACTGAGTGTGAAAACCTGTTTGCCTGGTGTCCCCCACGCTCATTCTGTCACTCTCCATAGTGGCCTGCACAGGGCAAGAGAGTGGGTGAGGAATAGACCCAGTAGGTCAAATGATTTGTACACAACACAGTTGTAGCAGCAGAGCAAGGTCTCAAAGCCAGGACTCTTTAGGGTCACCACTGCTCCTGCTGACCCAGGAGAGGGTCTCTTCAGGGCAGCTGACCTAGTGTGAGGCAAGCAATGAGACGCAACGGACCAATTCGTTGACCTTCCTGTCTGCCTTTGGCTCTGGTGTTCAGGTCTCTAGTTCTCAGCTGTGTCTCCTTACCAAAGGTATGCTTTCCTGTAGCAGTGAGTGTGCTTGATTCAGGGAGGCTGAGCAGCAGTTAGTATCCTATTCCAGAGGTTTTCTGAGAGATGGATGGCCCAACCAGGATTTTGTTTTCAGTTGTTTACTTTTTTTGTTTTTCCTTAAAGAGAGATCCCATAACCAACTTCTGTTCTTTCCAAAATGTCATAGCATCAAATCGTGAGTATGTAAAGCTTGGCGTTCTCAGAGAACCAAAATCCAGTCATCACCACAATATATAAATGTAACTTGTGAAACTTTCCTTGACAGGACTTGCTGGTTCTGGAAGAGCAAGAGGTGAGTAGTCTTATCAGCGGATCTGTCCCCTGCCCCTTAGCAGCCAGTGCCGTCCCTTCACTGTGAGTACAGCCTCTTCTCTGTGAGCACAGCCCCTACTCTGTGAACGCAGCCCTTTCTCTGTGAGCTTCATTGTGAGCGCTGCCCCTTCTCTGTGAGCACAGCCCCTTCACTGTGAATGCAGCCTTCTCATTGAGTCATACCTTGGTCATCTGCAGTGTGGGCTTATACTCACAGAGGCCTTTCTGAAGGGGCTGTCCAAGGTCTCCTTCAGAACTTTCCGTACAGCTATCTATAGACCAGTGTACTTAAATCTGCATAATGTATGAATGCAGTGTAAAGAGGGGCTCATTTCCATTCAACTAGGATGTCTGTGCCTTAGCCACGCATTTTACTGCACTAGATGCCAAAGAGATCTGCATGCTTCATTTCGTTACCCCCAGTGTGTGTGTGTGTGTGTGTGTGTGTGTGTGTGTGTGTGTGTCATGGAAATAACTGAGTAAGGAACTGGTGGCTTGTGCATATTATCCGTAACAGAAATGAAAATATCATTTGTCTGGTTGCTTGGGTCAAACTTAGTAAAGTCCTAACTCTTCCATTTCTGATACCCCAAGTCTAATCTATCTCTTCACCTAGCTGACATAGCTGTATAGAATCTCCTGAGCTCAAATGTCTCAGTGGCTTTGGCACAGCCACTTCAGCCTGTTGACAACACCCACTTCATCTCTGGACTTCACTGTACAGGCCAGATCTCTATTTCTCAATTTTGTCTCCTTATCCCTTATGACTTGGAGGGGCGAGCAGAGGCACCATCCATCAGAGCCTTTCTGAGAGATGGTGGCCAAGCCTTCCCATTTAATCGTGCAGTTTCTCATCTAGAATCAGTAGGGAACACTGACCTTGGTTCTAGTCCATCCTAGTAATAAACTATGAGTTGTGATGATGGGCAGGAAAAACAGAAAACAGAACTTCATATGGAACACTGATAATGAAGTTGGTGACCTGTGCTCATGACGGCACAGACAGCCATCCCCACAAGAGATGTGGGGCTCTATGTTGTAGTACACGCAAGGGGGAACCAGTGAGCTGCAAGCAGGTGGACCCCTATGAGTACAGAGACTGTCTCAGCTTGGGTTACTATTGCTGTGATGAAACACAATGACCAGAAGTAGATTGGGGCGGAAAGGGTTTAGTTGGCTTATGCTTCCACATCGCTGTTCATCATTGAAGGAACTCAAACAGGGCCAGTACCTGGAGGTGAGAGCTGATGTAGAGGCCACAGAGAGCTGTTATTGGCTTGCTCGACCTGCTTTCGTATAGAACCCAGGATCACCAGCCCAGGGATATTCCCACCCACAGTGGGCTGAGCCCTCCCCAATCAATCACTAATTAAGAAAATGCCCAGCCAGATTACAAAGGCATTTTCTCGGGTTGAAGCTCCCTCCTTTCAGGCGACTTTAGCTGTGTCAAGCTGACATAACGCTAGCCAGGACACTGTCCCGGCATCAGTATCCGGGAACCAGCAGGGCTGTTTTGAATAAGGCCATCCTTTCTTAGTGCCAGCAATTTGTCTGGATTCACTGGGAGTTTCTGCTCAGACTTCCCTTTTTACAGAAGGGATATGATTTAGAGAATTAATTCCGTAGATAAAGTTAGAACTAGGGGCTGGACAAGTGGCTCAGCAGTTAAGGGCACGCAGGGCAGGTTCAGTTCCTAGCACCAACACAGTGGCTCACAACCATCTATAACTCCAGTTCCAATACCCTCTTCAGGCCTCCACAGGCACCAAGCACACATGTATATATGCAGGCAAACATGTATGCACATAAAATAAACATAAAATAGATCTTTTTTAAATTTAGAAATAGTTTAACTTCCAAACAAATAGAAATGACAAATGTGCCTGTTTCTGTGCTTGAGCAGGACCGTTGTCCTGAGGAGACCAGTGCCTATACTCTCCAGCAGGCAGCTCCCTCCAGGGGCCCAGACTGAACTTGGGACCTGGAAAACTCCCTACAGCCCTCAAAATGCTGTTAGGATCCAGTAGTCCCCAATCAAACTACCTCTTCTAAAGTATGAAACAGCTCATTATGTTGACCGACACCCTGGTTTTTGAAAACAGATGAATGTTTTCTGCTCATTGTGGGCATCATTCGGGAAGCCTCAGCTACCAGATTATTTCAGGAGAGTCCTAGAATGTTTAAGAACTTAAAACAACACCAGCCTTCCTGGAATGTTCCTGAAGCAGAAAGTTCTATACAATTTCTCATTTAAACTGGGTCTCCCTGGAGACAGCAGAGAAGAGAGATGCAGGCCAGGGCCATCGTGGCAAACCTGGAGTCATGCTCTCCTTGTAAGTGGCCTAGGAGACTGGAAATCTCTGTATGCCAGGGAACCTGGGCAGTCCCCGTCCTGCACCCTCCACGCCCTAAGACTTTGCGCTGCCTGAGCCTGGCTAGGATAACGTGTCTTACAAACCCAGCCCCTCCAAGGCCTCAGCCAGGGTACTGGTAGCACGCTGCCAGCCTCACAACAGCCCCGTGAAATTGTATAAAGTTTTGGCTACTGACATGAAGGCCCCATCTCTGCCCGTGCTCTCAGCTTTGCTCAGTACAGGCCTGTCCTGGGAACACTATGTGCTATTGGCAAGAACTGTGGTCAAAAGTCAGGAGGCCTAGATCCCAGCTCTAGTCTGCTGCTCACTTATGACCAGTCTTGGGCAAGTCTCTTCTTCCCTGGACGTCCATGTCTGTGTGCTGTGGGCTCTTTTTGGTCCTAATGAGCTGCTAGTTCTCCTAGTCCTTCTGCCCTGTGCTTACTGTCTATCGGATCAGTTGAACCTGATCCTGGGCCGCCTAGAAGCCTCCCAGTTTGTTCTTTGTCCACTGGTTCTCAGTCTGTTTCCGGGACAGCAGCAAGAACATCTCACGGGAACCTTTTTGATGCAAACTTCCAAGCCAGATACCAGACCTAGTGAGCTGGAAACACTGGACCGTGAACCAATCATCTTCTAGCAACCCCTCCAGGGCTCCCGATGCCTGGAGGCCAAGTTTGGAGGACCATTGCTTCAGACGTTTTGTGATTGCTCCAAAAGGGCTATCTGCTAGACTACAGATTTCTGTGGGTGCTTTTGTTGTTGTGGTGGTGGTGGTGGTTTTGGTTTTTCAAGACAGGGTTTCTCTGTAGCTTTGGAGCCTGTTGTCCTGGAATTCACTCTGTAGACCGGGTTGGCCTTGAACTCACAGAGATCCACCTGCCTCTGCCTCCTGAGTGCTGGGATGAAAAGCATGCGCCACCATCACCTAGTTATGGGTGCTTTTTAAGAGGGAGCAAGAACAGAAGAGGTGCCTCCATCTTGGAGACACATGATTACTGTCATTTCTCCAGAATAAGGAAGAAAAGTGATGGCCATAGAAACCTGAATAGGTAGAGGTCCCCGATGAAACTGCAGAGATTGGGGCTGGAGGGTTAGCCCAGTGATTAAGAGTATGCTGTTCTTCATGGAGCCCGAGTTTGGTTCCCAGCGCCCACTCAGGCAACCCGTACTACCTCCTGTAACTCCAGCTTCAGGGGTCCCCCACCTCAGGCAACCCATACTACCTCCTGTAACTCCAGCTTCAGGGGTCCCCCACCTCTGGCCTCCATGAACACCTGAAGTCATGTGCACACACTGCCACACACACAACTTAAAACAAAAAAGTAAGCCTTTAAAAAAAATCTCCCCCAAAAAATTAGCCAAAAGATGGCCAGTGGGGAAAAAGCAAGTGCTTTCTGTCCACCTTTGCTGTTTTCCTTGCTCCTTATGCAGTCACTACGCCACATTTGTCCCCAGCCCTGTGCTTGCTCTGCAAACTCAATACTAATTAAAGTCTGGGGTCATCTTCCAGCAACTCAGGCTCCAGTGAGAAACAGAGACATGTACTAGATAAGAATTATAGTGGGGGCTGGGCAATGGTGGCACACATTTTTAATCCCAGCCCTGGGAGGCAGAGGCAGAGGCAGGTGAATCTCTGTGAGTTCAAGGCCAGTCTGGTCTACAGAGTGAGTTCCAGGACAACCAGGGCTACACAGAGAAACCAAGTCTTGGAGGAAAAAATTATAGTGGGATAATGGCATAAAGGGTGAATGGTGGCAGTGGTAGGTGACCTCTCTGGAAATTGCTGTTGGAGCTGAGGCTCGTCTGCTGGGTAAGAGTTCTGGGTATAGGGGTGAGGTAGCAATGCCCTCCCTACTTCTGTGTCTGTACAAAGTCACTGAAGGGCATGTACCTATTTGCCAGGTGTATTAGGGAGAGAAAGGTTTTGAAGCACAGCCTCAGGCTTGGATTTTCAGATTCTTTTCTTTTTCTTCTTTTCATAAGTATATGTGTGTGCAGTGTGCGCATGTTTGTGCATGTTTGGGTATATGTGCACTTACATATAGATGCCTTGGGTTGACGTCAGCACTCATCCACTATCCCTCTTCTACCTTATTCATTAAGTTGGGATCTCCTAGTCAAATACAAAGCTCCCTAAACCATTCACTTTTGCTAGCCAACTTGCTCTGGGGATCCCCTAACTCTCTGCATTTCTGGGCTCGGAAGGCAGGCACCTTGTCATACCTAGCACACATCCATGTGGGTTCTGGGGATCTGGATTCCAGTTCTCTTGCATGTGTGGTGAACACTTCAATCACTGAGCCATCAACAGGCTGGGTTTTCAGAGTCTTAATTTTACCACTCCACTTCTGAGTCCTGGTGTTCTTCCTTGACCTCCCACCCCTGGCCCCATTGGCTAGTACTCTAGATCACTCGCACCTTGACTGACCAACACCCGGAATCCTTCGCCTAGTGGCAGGTCAGTCGGCCTTGTAATGCTGATGTTCTTCTAGCAATGGGCTTTTATTATTATGTAATGCAGGCACACACAGAAGTATAGAGAGTGACATAAAAATCCCTGCCCAGATTAGGACAAAATCATTAAGAACACAGAGTGGAGGGGCCAGAGAGATGGCTCAGCAATTAAGAACTTGTACTGCTCGTGCAGAGAACTCAGGTTTGGTTCCCAGTGCTCACATCCAGCAGCTCATGCTGCCTGTAACTCCAGCTCCAAGGAGCCCAGTGCCCTCTTCTGCAGGCACATGGACTTGTGTGATGCATAGAACCACCACATACATATATGATAATGAATTGTGGCCACACGTAACAAACACATAAGTAATAACCGAGTCTTTAAAGAGTAACAGCTGCCCATCTACTTTCTGCCCCTGACTCCATTCCTCTGTCGTCTTCTCTTCCCTGAAGGAGCTTCCATCATACGTTGGTGTTGGTCCTTTCTGCAGGGTCGGATTCTATGAGTCCTCTGCAGAGCTGAGAATCATAAGCTCAAACTGGGAATAGCCCTGCTTGTTTGGCTTGCTTTGTCTTTCATTTGCACATCTGTGACTTGTTCAGATTAAACATCTTCAGGAGTGGGGGCGAGCTTTTCATATAAATTGCCCACAATTTCCATATCTATTTCTAGAAGAGCCTACCAGACTTTAGTCTAAGATTGTTATGTTTGGCTCTGAGTTACAATTAGCTCCCCTAGTCTTCTGGAAACTGTTGCTGACGGGTGGATCAGAATGTGGTGCCAGACCCATGGCCATTTGTCATCAGTACCCTGCTGCCCCTGCACGGGCTTAGAATCCTCCTGATGTCAGCAATAATGAAATTACAGCTGAACTGGTAGAGAAATGGATCGCCTCACCTGCTAGCTATTTTGTAAGCTTCAGAAAAATGAGAGTCTCTTGCTAACAATGGTCAGTCGGGGCCAATGGGAAGAAGGACTCCCCCAAGAGTCCACTCAGGCGACTGCACTGATCCTAAATGCAAACACCGTACCTTAAAACTCTGTGTGCTTCAGTGATAAAATTAACTTGCATGTCTTTTGCTGTCTCATTGTAAGGGCTCTGTGAATTTCAAATTCGGGGTTCTTTTTGCCAAAGATGGACAACTTACAGACGACGAGATGTTCAGCAATGGTGAGCAGCCCCTCCCCACCCCTGCTGAGGGAGACCCTGCCCTTCCCCTCACCCCTGCTGACAGAGACCCTGCTCTTCACCTCACCCCTGCTGACAGAGACCCTGCTCTTCACCTCACCCCTGCTGAGGGAGACCCTGCCCTTCCCCTCACCCCTGCTGACAGAGACCCTGCTCTTTGCTGCTTTCCTGCAGCCGAAACTGAATATGTGGTTGGGCTGGCATCTCCAATCCCAGGAGGTGGCTTACAGAGTTTCCTAAGGACCAGTTTCATTTGTTTGCCAAGTATTTTCCTGATCACCTGACGTCTACGGGTCCCTGCAATGGGCCCTGGGGAACACAGCTGGGAGGGGAGGAGACCCACATGAATTTGGAGAATCTGGTTCTACAGAGTGCAAGGTCTTTCCTCGCTGGTTCTGGTTGAGTGACTGTAAAGACAGTTTCCTCTCCCTGTATTTGTACCTTTCATGTTACAGCCCTGTTTATCACTGGGCAAAGCATAGTAGTACCTGGTTCCTCCCTCGGCCTCCTCATGGCCCCTGTGTGGAAGGTGATGTGACCTCATGTTTTGACACTGCACATCAACACCGCCTCACTGTCCATTGACCAGAGATCAATGCTTTTCTCATCCCTTGCCTTTTCTTGCAGAAATTGGAAGTGAAGCTTTTCAAAAATTTTTGAATCTCCTCGGAGACACCATTACTCTAAAGGGCTGGACAGGCTACCGTGGCGGTCTGGACACCAAAAGTAAGCTTGCCCCTTGTTGGAATTAGTAAAATTCTGTTACTTGAGGGTCATCCCCAGTGTGACATGGGTCACTGGGCATGATCGTCAACTCCACTGACTTTATAAGACCTGTAGGATGCACCAGGAGATATGATCAATAAACACATAAAGTCATGTGCAAATGAATGGCATTTCCATCAAGGAAGGATCATCTGTTGTGGAATCTCATAAGGCTATACCGCCTGGTATCATATATTATCATATTATATCATATCATATATATCACCTGCTACCACTGTGGTTCCCCGCATCAAGATACACTTACAACGCAAGACTCAGTTGTCCCATAGCTATATTTACCAATGAGCACCATGTGTTCCAAGACCCTGCTGGTCTCTGCGGTCAGTATGCTTAAAGCAGCATGGTCCCTGTCTATGCATAAAGCCAACAGTCCCCTGGGCAGCACAGGCGGCACACGGGTAACGGTTATGAAATCGCTTGGCAGTCACTGCTCACAGGAATCAGGAGCCACAGAGAGTGCCACAGGCACTCTGCCGAGTCTGGGGAGTAGAACACTTCTCCGAGGGAACCAGGGAGTGATGAGTGGGAACAGTTGGAGTCTTGAGGAAAGAATTCCAAACAGGGAACATCTGTGAAGTCCCTGCGGCAGGAGAGAACATGGTGTGCTATTCTAGAAACTAAGAGAATATCTTTCTGGCTGGAAGGAGCAGAGGGACCACGAAGGTTACAATACAGACTAGAGAAGGGAAGGGATGGCCCTGTAGGGAGTTTGAAGTCCCCTTGTATGTCACTGAGTAGGAGAATAGTGAGGTCCCTTAGGGCAGACCTGAAGGGAGCAGGCCAGGGAGCCATTGGAGAAGCAGATTCCACAGTCTGAATGAGGGTGAGGGGGATGACAATGACTGTCGTGGCTGCTGGAGACAAGTGCACATTCCAGAGCCTCTGAGGTAGAGATCACCGGATCCCATGATGATGGAGAAGGGGGATGAAGAGGAACGAGTCTCACTGCTTGCCGGCCTTCTGGCCTGAAGTGGCTGATGGAGAGAGATCTCGGGGATTTGAAGGGGAGACTTGGAAAGGTAGGAGGGGATGAAGAGAGACTAGATGGCAAGTTTGGACTTGAGTCGCTTAGGTTGGCATCTATCTGAGGCTTCTGTGTTTGTAGTTTCGTTTGCTCACCGGTCAAGCCCACAGAAAGCCAGGCGGGTGGTACAGTGCTCCTCTGCCTAAAAGTGACAGTCTCCAGGCCAGGTAGCCTGACTGTCTGGGAGCCTGTCTTCCTGGAAGTCCCCACAAACTCAGCATGAAAGCAATGCATGAGGACTGCCATGGAAATGCCTCTGGTCCCAGTTCAGAGGTGGAATGTGCCACCAGCCTCCCTCTGTCAATCTCCTGTATGTGATGGGCTCCTGAGCTCAGCACCATGGTTGGCTCTCAGCCTCACTGTGGTGGTCCTGACCACCATCTACTGAGCTGTCTCATAGCCCAGCTCTCCTGCTAGGTTAGCACTTTTCAGGGACCATCTTTCTGAGTCTTCCCTGCATGCCTGAGAGCTAGATACTACTGTCCTCATTTTCAAATTAAGAAACAGGATCAGAGTGTGCCCCTTACTCCACAACCTCTCCAGCAAAGGCTATCATTGGTGTTTTTGATTTTAGCCATTCTGACAGGTGTAAGATGGTATCTCAAAGTTCTTTTAATTTGCATTTCCCTGATCACCAAGGAGGATGAGCATGACCTGTTGAAATAAGGAGCGGCGGGGCTGCGTCCCCAACACCCTGGCCGCTTGGCTAGCTTATGCCCGAAATAACAACACACAAACTGTATTCAGTTAAACACTGCTTGGCCCATGAACTCTAGCCCTTACAGGCTAATTCTCGCACCTGGACTAGCCCATTTCTAATCATCTGTGTAAGCACCCCAAGGTGCGCTTACCGGGAAGATTCTAGCCTCCGTCCATGCTGTCCGGGAGCAGAGCAGAGTCTGACCTCACTTCCTCTTCCGCCCAGCATCCTATTCTGTTTATTCCACCCACCTATGTTCTAAGCTATGAGGCCAAGCAGTTGGTTTATTATAATTAACCAATTACCTTCCTCCATCAATGACCTTAAGTGTCTTTTGGCCATTTCAATTTCTTCTGGTGAGAATTCTCTGTTCAGTTCAGTGCCCCATTTTTTAATTGGGTTAATTAGCTTTTTAAAGTCTAGTTTCTTGAGTTCTTTATATATTTTGGAGATCAGGCCTTTGTCTGTTGTAGGGTTGGTAAAGATAGAATAAGCATGGGATGAAACCGGACTCCCTGAACGTGCAGACAATGAAGGCTGATGAGAAGCCAAGGACAATGGCACTAGGTTTCAACCCTAATACATGAACTGGCTGTGTGGGAGC